GTTATGCTGAGCGAATTAAGTCAGGCAGAGAAGGACAAATACCATATGTTTGCACGTATAGGAGGATTACGAGGAACTTAACGGAGGACCAAGGGGGAGAAGAAGGGGGGAAATAGTGGGGGAAGGGAGAGAGGCAAACCATGAGAGACTCTTGAATGCTGAGAACAAACTGAGGGCTGATGGGGGTGGGGGAGAGGGGAAGGGGGGTGATGGGCATGGAGGAGGGCACTTGTGGGGATGAGCACTGGGTGTTATATGGAAACCAACTTGACAATAAACTACTTGTAAAAAAAATAAAAACATTTCTTGGAAAGAGAGCGTGTGTGCATGTCTGCAAGGAGAAGAGGGGCAGCGGGGGATGGGGGTGAGAATCTCAAGCAGGCTTCACACTCAGAGCAGAGCCTGTGTGGACCTGATCCCACAACCCTGGGATCATGACCTGAGCTGAAATCAAGAGTTGGACGCTCAACTGACTGAGCCACTCAGGCATCCCAAGAGTTGTTGTCTTAAAGTCTGTGTGTCACATGTCACGTAGCTACCCCAGCACTCCGGTTTCTGTTCGCGTGCATGTCCTTTTCTCTCCTTCTGCGTATCATCTATTTGCATCTTGGAATTTTTTCAATTTTTTTTCCATGCCTTCCCCCCTCCCCTGGGGCTCCCGTCTCGCCCGTGTCTGTACTCTCCGTGTTGTCTTGCTGTGCTCTGACCATCTGGGCTTTTTTTTTCTTCAATCTTTTTAATCTCTGTTCTTCAGACTAGTTAATATCTATTGATTTGCCCTCCAGTTTCCTGCCCCCTCCCCGCCCTCCCCCGCCTGCAGGTGCCGGTGCTGCTCTAAGGGGTTTTCCATTTTAGTTCTTGTATTTTTCAACTCTAGAATTTATTTTTGGGTTTCTTCGTTTTTAGTTTTTGGTTTTTAATTTTTATTGCAATTCTCTTTGAGTCACTGTCACGTTTTCACGTATTTGTTAAATGTGGTTTGCTCTGATTCTTCGTACGTACTTACCATGGCTGCTTTGTGGTCCTGTGTGCGAAACCCGCGTCTGGGCCACTCGACTTCTTTTGGCTGCTCTTTTTTCCTGAGTATGGGTCACACATTCCCATTCCTGGCAAAGCATAAGTTTTTGCTGAAATTCGGTCATTTTAACCGGTGCAGGGTAGCCGCGTAGGGTGCTGACCCCTCGCAGGCTTCCGCAGCGTATGTTTCCCCCCATGTTGTGAGTCCACTGATGCCTGGGTTCTCTTTCGGCTCCTGTGCTCATTGTCCTCCGTATTGTTCAGCTGGCCTACTGGGGGTTCCCCTTGTGTCTACACTGCTTCGTGCCGAGCCTGCGAGGAGTCAGAAGTTGTGCTTACTTAGCTAAGCCTTTGAGCTCCTGTCCTTTGCCAGTAGCTGTACGTGTGGTTTGGGTGGTGTGTCCAAGGTTCAGGTGGCTTTGAACTCTTGCCGGCTTTTTTTTTTTTTTTTTTTTTTAAATTTTTTTTTTAATGTTTTATTTATTTCTAGGAGAGAGAGAGACAAGCGTGAGCAGGGGAGGGTCAGAGAGAGAGGGAGTCACAGACTGAAACAGGCTCCAGGCTCTGAGCTGGCAGTCAGCACAGAGCCCGACGCGGGGCTCGAACCCACGAACCGCGAGATCATGACCTAAGCGAAAGTCGGACGCTTAACCGACTAAGCCACCCAGGCGCCCCTGAACTCTTGCCGGCTTTTATGTTTTCCCAGGGCTTTCCTGCATGCCGCCTCCTGGCCACCCAGGGTGTGTGGGGGGCCCGTCTGGCCCTCTGGGACTCTCATTCCAGGACCTCTCTCTTGGGCTTCTACGAGGCCTGCTGGTCTGCTTGCACCCCCGGCAGGACCCTGACCTGCGGCTGGCAGAGCGGCGGGGGGGGGGGGGGGGGCTGCCGGGGCTGCCTCTGTCTCCTTCCTGCCAGCTTTACTACTTGCGCTGAGTGTTGCCACACAGGAGGGATTTTCGCCCTTGGTGCCACGTCAGGGAAGCTCGGTCTGGTGGCCAAGATGCTGGTTGTCGTGGCCAGTCTGTCCCTGGTAACGCCCGGGTCCTAGGCTGTGCTGCTGGGGGACATGGGGAGGGATAGCTCACTCCACAGTTCTCACCCAAAGTCTGCGGTTCTTAGTGAGTGAATCCTTATTAGCTTGTTCGCTTTGTGTTAATTTCCAGAGTTTTCAGATGTTTGGGTTTTTTTTTTTTTTTTTTTGACAGTTTTGTCAAATTTTATAGTTTAGGGAGCAAGAAGATTTCCAGACTTCTTTATTGTGTCATTGCTAGAAGTCTCTAGCAGCTCTCTCTGCCTTTCTAAGCTGATGGCGGTTCCAGCTTGTCACAGGTGTCTAGAGTAGAGGCCATAAAACACCCTGCAGCATCCAGGATGCAGGGATGTGTGGTGACGGGGCAACTCCGCTCGCGGTGGGGGGGAGGGGGCAGCAGGGGACGAGGGCTGGTCTTAGCGCCTGCGTCACTGCATGTCTTCCCTGGTTTTGAAGGTACAGTGGGTTGAAATGTCCGCTGGTCGTAACTACGTACATCTTGACCTTTAAAAAACTTACTGTAGTTATAATTCTGGATTTAAAATATTTTTTTAATCCGAGTGTTGTCAGTCACTGTAATTAAGATGAATTATTTCTTTTTTAAATTTTAGTTTGTTCTGTCAGTTGAAACCAAGGCAGAGGATCGTCCCTAAGTGGCACGAAAAGCCGTACGAATGGAATCAGGTGAGTGGGCAGTCGAGAGCCGTGCGGCCGCCTGCCCGGGAGTGATGGGCTCGGGGGCTCGGAGCAGGCGCAGCCGTGGGGCCCAGGAGAGTAGCAAGGACAGGCAGTGTAGATGGTCCTGCTGAGTCACGGGGTAGCATCACGGACAGACTGGCAGCCTCTGGATGGCGTGCCCTCCGTGATGCCTGGGCCCACTGCCCTGTGACTTGGAGTGAAGCCGTCCCGGCCCGTCGGCGTTGACCCTGCGTGCGTGGGCTGACGGCGTGCCCCACGCCAGGTGGCTGACACAGCAGACATTTACTCTCTCATGGTTTGTGGAGGTCAGGGCACCAGCACAGCTGGGCTCTGGTGGGCCCCTTCCTCGCTTGCAGGCCCGGGCACCATCCTGTGTTCTCACGCGGTGGGGAGTCTCCTCGTAGTTCTTCTTGGAAGGGCTCTGGTTCCGTCATGGGGCCCTGCCCTTGTGACCTCAGGGAACCCCGTTCAGCTCCCCAAAGCCCATCCCCTGACACCACTGCACTGGGGATTTGAACTTGAACATAGGGATTTGTTCGTAGCAGCTGGGAAGTAGGGCAGGGCCCATCTGGGGCACCTTGACTTTTACTACGTGTAACGTTCACAAAACACAATACAGTCTGACTTGAGGGGGAGGAACGGAGGGAGGGGTTTGCAGCTTTGATTCCAGAGTCTGGGGCATCTGCATGGCCGAACCCACTGCTGTGTAAGTGACAGACGCCCCTGAAGGTGGTGCTCTCCCTCCTGAGTCCACTGGGGACTTTCCTTCTCCCCTGTGCACCGATGGGTGTCCCTCTTCAGAGCCCTCAGGACCAGGCCTGGAGCCAGCTCCCTGACGGGAGGTGACAGCCCGCCACCTCTCCTGCAGACTCTGTTCAGAGGCTTCATTTGAGAGCAGAATTTTGCTTTGAGGTTGATGTGCTTTAGAAAGCATACATACTTAAAAGCCGATAACGAAGCCACAGTTGCTGTGCACGGAGGATGGAGCGCGCATGAGCTTTGAGTGAAGTTGCCGGGTTACGAAAGGTGGCTTGTCAGACACATGGCATTGAGCGCCGTGGGAGATGGGGGCATTCTGGAAATACGCTTGGAAACCAAAAGGCTGCTTTCTGCCGTCTAACGTGTCTGGGTATATGTGTGTGTACTTTAGATCATTCGTTTTATTTGCTTATGTCTCACAGGTCCTCCTTCTAGAACGGTCTGACTGTTCCTTTTGTCTGCCCCTCAGGTGGATCCAAAGCTGGTCATGGAGCAGGCTGACCGAGAGAGCAGCCGAGGGAAGAACACCTTCCTCTACCAGCTTCACAAATTGATTGTTCTCAGTGCCTAGGTGTGCCAGCAGGCTGTGCCCCGGCTCCTCTCTGAGGGACCGGATCCGCCACAGAGCGGGCCATTAAAGGCTCCGTCTGCAGACTGACTTTTCTCTGTATCTGAGCATTACAGCCTTTGGCTACTGCATCCAAAAGGTCTTCCCCATCCTGGTTCCTCTTCTCTGTGGGTGGTGGCTGGAGAGTGGTATTTCTGTTCAGGTGGGAAGGATTGGAAAGTCTAGTCTTTTCAAGAAATAGAAAATCACCATGTTAAAGATTCTGGGATAAAACCATCCTGAAAGAAGGCTTTGTTTGGAAAAAGAGCTATATTTTGCTTTAAATTTGTTAAAGAGGTATAGCTGATCTTGCATGTAAGGTTCCAGAATGTGCTAGTGTGTTCTATTTTGTTATAGTGATTTAAACCTGGGATACAGGCAGAACCACAAACACCAAACCCCACAGTGGGGAGCTGCGTGTTTCTCAAAACCATGTGGCATTCTCTAATTTTCTTTTCCACGAGGGAAAATATTTAATTTTGGTAAAACTAACTTCAGTGTGTACATTTTACATTTTTACTTACATTGCAATTTTGAGTCCAGATTTTGGAAATCAGAGAGATCACCTGGCAACTAGTATTAATCTGTGTTAAAGCAATAAAAGCATTAGACTTCAGTTTCTGTTTCTGACAATTTTTAGTCAGAGAAGATTAAAACGTATTTCATTCTAAAACCTCTGAATTTAGAAAACTGGTAAAGGCGTACAGGCCTGTTTGTGAAAACAACTCCCGTCAGTTAGGGCTGCATCAGAGGGCGGCAGCAAGCGGTCCCTCGTGGCCTCACACGGGGTCAGAGGTGCTGACGGGAGGGTCCGCGAGGATGCGAGGAAGGATTAGGGGAGCGGTCGCCTAAGCTGGCTCGTCCCCGTCTCCGAGGGCAGCTGAAAGCCCGTGGGAAATCCGAGGAGCATATGTGTTTGGGGGCCGTGGGGAGGTGGCAGGAGCTCGTAGGGGACTGGGGAGCTGCCACCTGCGGGGCTTCTGTGAACCGGGGGCCCGGCGCTGCGTGCGTCATCTGTCACCTGTGTCTCACTTGTGCCCCGGTCTCAGCTCTGAGCCCGAGTGGGGGTTTCTGGGAGTGCACTCCCAGCCGGAGGGGGCCTGAGGGCAGCTGGAAGTCTGCCTTTTCAGAAAGACTTTCTGTGAAAAGAAGCAGGAAGAAGCAGGGTATTTCCCCTGCGGCTTGCTCTTTGCTTTGGCTGGGAGGGGAGAGAGGGGCGGCCCAGGCACGCACCCCGCTGTGCGGGGGGGGGGGGGGGGGGCAGGGTCTGTGGTGGGGCGGCTGGTCCCGGGAGCAGTCCAGCGCTGTGCGTGGTTAAATCAGATAGTACCGGAAGGCTTGTTTACGAAAAAATCCAGCTCCTTCATTTCTCTGGTTCTAACCCTTAAAGAGAACCATCCCGACTCTTACTTTTTTCTGGAATTGACTCCATCTTGCTCAGTATCTTAAGTAAATTTTGCTTCTCCGTGATTTGTGCCACAGTCATTGTTTACTTGCTGCTGTTGTAGGTGAAGATTGAGCTCTTTACACCTGCCTTCCCTGTCGTTTGATGCTGTCACGTTGCGTGACTGGTTAATTCATTCTGTCCTCGCGACTCTGGAAGTACTACTGTCTGCAAGAGCCAGCAGCACCCCGGACGGCCCTCCCTCCCCAGAAGACTGGGGGTTACACTGTCCGTGTGCACGCTTCTCTAGCCCCGTGTGTCTTTAAAATTGTTATTTTAATTCCAGCTAGCGTGCGGTGTGATACTAGTTTCGGGTGTACAGTATGGGGATGCAGCATTTCCATACATTGCCTGGTACCCGTGCCGACCGGTGCCCGCCTTCATCCCCATCCCCCCACCTCCCCTCTGTGACCGTCAGTTCTCTGTGGTCAAGAGTTTGTTTTCTGGTTTCTCTCTCTCTCTCTCCTTTGCTCATTTGTTTGGTTTCTTAAATTCTGCATATGAGAGAAATCATATGGTATTTGTCTTTCTCTGACTTCACTTTTTGTACACTCCAGCACCATCCGTGTCGTTGCGAATGGCAAGATTTCATTCTTTTTTTACGGCTGAATGCTATCCTGTCGTATGTAAACATGTATGTACGTGCGTGTACACTCACACACTCATCGTTATCTGTCCGACTGTTAATGGACACTTCACTTGCCTCCGTACCTTGGCTGCCGTACGTAATGCTGCTGTAAGCATGAGGATGTTGTTACCGTTAGCCTTCTGACAGGCGTGAGGTGGTGGCTTTATTATCTCCCCGATGATGGGAGATGCTGAACATCTTTTCACGTGTCTCTTGGCCATCTGTATGTCTTCTTTGGAAAAGTGTCTGTTCATGTTTTCTGCCCATTCCTTAACTGGATTATTTGTTTTTCAGGCATTGAGTTTTATAAGTTCTGTATAGATTTTGGTTAACCCGTGATCAGATAAGTCATTTGTAAATATCTCCTCCCGTTCTGTGGGCTGCCTTGTAGTTTTGCTGAATGTTTCCTTCACTGTGCAGCGGCCTGTTGTTTTGACGTGGTCCCAGTAGTTCATTTTGCCTGGGGAAAATCGTTGCTCCAGCCGGTGTCGGAGAGGTGGCTGTGCTCTCCCCTAGGATTGGTGGTTTCCTGTCTCACATTTAGGCCTTTCATCCCTCTTGAGATCACTTTTGTGTGTGGGGTGAGAAGTGGCCGGGTCTCATTCTCCTGCACGTTGCTGTCTGGTTCTCCCAACGCTGTTTGTTGAAGAGACGTTCTTTTCCCCGTTGGATATTCTTCCCTGCTTTGCCAAGGATTAATCAGCCATCTGTCCTCATGGTCTTAAGGAGTTATTTATGCTCTTGGTAATACATGTGCAGGATATGAAATGAGAGGGTGTAAAGGGCAGGGAGTAAAAGGCCGTCCTGTCCCCGCCCCCAGACAGCCCGCCACCGAGCCCTCACCCCTGTGTTCTTCGGGCTGCTACCGCGGAGGTCAGCTGTGAGCAGAGCGTGCCTGGCCTCCCTGCGCTGCGGCGGGTAGAGCCGGGCGACAGACAGGAGGCGGCGAGAGCTGTGGGGGTCGGCCAGTCCGGGTAGGGGGCAGAGCAGGAGCGTGCGGCTCTCTCTGTCGGGGCCTGGGCGGTGAGCCGCTCAGGCCTTGTGGGCCACGGGGGCGTCGGACGCGTCTCTTGCGCGCTGCAGTCTCCGGGGACGGTGCGCACGTGAGGAAGGGCCGTGTTCCTGCCGAACACGCGCTGCGGGAGCCGTCAGACGGCGGCTGGCCACTGGCTGGGCCTGCCTTGGGGGCGGGTGTGCGCGGTGGCGCGGCCTTCTGAAGGGACAGCCTTCCTGTGGGGAGATCTGAGGTGCTGGCTGAGCCCTGGGGAGGGAGCACAGCTGGTATTCTTGGGGGCCCAGCAGGAAGGCCTCTGGAGCCGGGGCCATTTGGGGCTGGGGGGGCGGGTGCTCAGAGAGAGGCCAGGTCCAGGCTGCGGGGTGGGTTTTGTCTTGTCCCCGAGCGAGGGGAGGACCGCACCATGCCTGGACCGACTGCGGGGGCAGCGTTGTGGCTGCTGCGTGGGGCTCCGCGTGGGCTCTGCAGCCGAGGCCCCGGGCGTGTGCCGGCGGGAGGACGGGCGCGAGGGGCTCCGATTCAGTAAGTCCCAGTGCTGTGGGCCGAATGGGGGCCGCTCAGAAGCTCTGTCCGTGTGCTACCCCCGACGCTCCTGTAAAAGTGACCTTATTTGGTCACGGGGTCTTTGAAGCGCTGTACTTAGGTTAAGGGCCCTGCGATGGGGTCCTCATCCTGGAGGTAGGGTGGGCTCCGAGGCCCGTGGCAGGCGTCCTTGTAAGACGCGTGCGGAAGAGACACCGGGAAGAACCCGCCTGAGGACGGAGACAGAGGCTGGAGGGACGCGGCCACGAGCCCGGGAGTGCCGCAGGCCACCAGGCGCTGGAAGAGGCATCAAGGGCCCTCCCCCTGCTCCCCGAGCCTCCCCAAGGGAGTACAGTGCTGCTGACACCTTGATTTCAGACCCTCGGCCTCCGGACCTGGGAGAGAGCGAATTCCTGTTGTTCAAGGCCCCGCGGCGTGTGGGGCTTTGTTCCGGGGGCCCCAGAGCTGACCCCGCTGGGACCTTGTGCCCTTTCACTGAACACGTCCGGGGTGGTCTCCTCATCGTGTGGACGGTTCCATCCGTTTTCCCTGGTGCTCACGCGACATCCGCTCACCTGTACCCAGCGTTCCCACCTGGTGTTTGTTGTGGATCCTGTTTCTGGATCTCTACACGTGCTCTGTAAGTGCCTCACGGGATTCGTAAGTGACTTCATAACCTCACAGTGGATTTGGGTAGTTTCTAGTCTTACTGTTACGTACGGCGTCGCAGTGAATAGTTCTTCGTTTACGGAACCCGTAATAAACTCCTAGACTAAGAGTTGCTGGGCCAACGGGCATTTGGTGAATAATCCGGTTAGGAGACGTTGTCACACTGCCTTCCGTCTGGTCAGTGCCAGCGCGCACACTCCTGCCAGGGATGGGGCCGCTTGCTTCCCTGTGGGGGGGTTTCAGGTTTAGGTTGATTATGAATCGAGTGGCAGTGAATGTTTGGGGATTAATGTCTGTGTGGACGTGTATCGCATTTCTGAAGGGTAAATACTCAGGGATGGAATTATTGGGTCACACAATAAATATAGAATTATTTAAAAGTTTATTCATTTTTGAGAGGGTGGGTTCTTACAGGCATATTAGTATTGCTGCGATGCAGAGGGCTGGAGGTTGAGGTGAATGAGTTCCTTAGATGTTCTGGGTACAAATTCTTTGTCAGAGATGTGTACCCCAAGTCTTTTCTGCCAGCCTGGCTCACCTTTGCATGTTTTAATGGTGTTTTTGAACTGTAAAATTTTTTCATTTAAAACTTAATTTAGTCATCTTTCTTCTGTGGTTTTTGTGTATGTGTATCCTATATAAGAAATCTTTGATGTAAGAGTACAGAGATTCTTCTAGAATTTCTGGAAGTTTTATCATTTCAACTTTGACATTTAAGTCTACGATTCATATCAACTTTTATTTTTTATTTTTTTATTGTGTGGAGTTCAGGGCCGTAGTGATGGCAGAGTGACGTTCATCTTCATACAGACATCCGCTCCTTTCACCAGCATTTGTTGAAAAATGAAGACTGTTTCTCTTAGGCTGAATTGGCTTTACTTCTTTATCCAAATCAGTCGGCTCTATTCTTGTGGGTTTAGTTTTGGGCCTTCTGTTCTGTTCTGTTCATCTGTTTGTCTTCTTTCTCCAGCACCGCACTGTCCTGACTGTTGTAGTCGTGTAGGAAGTCTTGAAGTTGCTAGTGCTTTGCTCTTCTTCTTTTGTGCTGGCTATTCCTGGTCTTTTCTCTCCCATATAAACTTTATAGAGCCACTTTGTAGATATCCATAAAATAGCTTGCTAGGATTTTGGTTGGGATTGTGTTGAATCCATAGATCATGTTGGAAAGACCTCGTATCTTAACAATAACAAGAAAAGTCCATGAGCATAGGATAGCTCTCCATTTATTTATATCCTCTTTGATACCTTTCCTAAGAGTTTTATAGTTTTTTGCACATAGATTTCGTACATGTTTTGTTAGATTTATTACTTTTTTCTTTTTTTTTTTTTTGTGCTAAT